TTAAAATTATTACATTTTGCCGGCTGCCCTCGTTTGTGCGCGCTTTCCGTCGCTGTTATTGAGGAAATCAAGTTGATCTAAAGTGTATTTTAACCCCCTGAGTGAAGGGAATGACTGGAGTTCCCGATTGATAGTGCCCCCACCCTTCACCACAGATGCTTTATTCATCGGCGAATCAGGGCGCCTTTGTTCTTTCCGCTTGTCTCGCTTAGCCGAAGTTTACTGTCTCTGGCGTCGTTCAGACTTCGACTGACGGGAGTGGATTGATACGGGGTTTCGGAACGAGCATTGCCCGAGGGGGGTTGCCTACATTCCAAGCGCCCCCGCTCCCCCAGGTATCGTATAACCGCGCCTGCACTTTCTACTACTATTTACATTTTCCTCTCGCTGATGCATCTCTTCGCACGCTTCACGCAATCGTTGAACCGGGCGGCCTGGATGCACGTCCGCCCTGCCCTCGCACTGGTTCTGGGGCGGGTACACGTACACGGCCCGAGTACGTCGGCTCCGGCTCCGACGCGGCCGCGCCGCTCGGACCTGCTCCCTCGGCAGCAGGGCCGGTACCCGAATAACCGTTAGCGGCGGTGGCGGCGCGCCGGCCACGGCTGGAGAAGGTTTTTTCTGGGGAGGGGGGAGAGGGGGACTTTAGTCTTCGTGTACTCCCCGTCGGACCGATCAATTCCCCCTGCCGGTTACAAATCTGAGGCGCTCTTTCGGTGCAACAAAGTAAGTTGGTGGCTGATAAGGCGCCGGGTACCCTCCGGAGTACCTCCGGGGTCCCCGCCGGTACCTTCCGGGTGCCGCTTGTCCCGCGCCGTGTTCCTCATTTCTCCGACTGTCGTCCGCCGGAGCAGCCGCTGGAGCCGCCCATGGAGGCCGCTCCCCGGACTTGTTGCTCTCTTGCTAGGCGTTGCCATGGCGACGGGGGAGGAAGTGGGCGGCGCGGGGGCGCGGGGGAGGCCCAGAGGGGAGGCCCTGCAGGGGCGAGGAGACGGCTCCCTCTTTGTGTAGCCCGGTGTGCTGTGCCTGCGCTTTGTCGCCGAGGGTTGAGCTCAGGTGAGGGACGGATCCTGAAAAGAGAGAGAGGGGGAGGGGGCGTCTCGAAAGCAGGAGCTCTGCCGTGCCACTGCGGGTGATGCAAGAGATTCTGGCTGCAGCGGCAGACAGGCTGGCGGGGGGACCAGCTCGGATGCACCCCTGGCGGCCTCGCCGGCCTCGCCGGCCTCGCCCGCCACCCCCGTAGGGTGAGACTGGGTCGATAGCGCGAGGGTGCGTGGCGTGGCGTGGGCAGCCTCGGCTCCGGGTTCGGGCCTACTTCGGCTCGTCCACCCCTTCGGCTTTCTATCTCGCCCCCGCGCGGTCCCTTCCGGGTCTGCGCCGCGCGGGGCGCCCGCTCGGGGCGCTCGCTCGGGTAGAGTGCGTGCGCCGCGACGTGCTCGCGTTGTGCCTATACGCTGGGCGCGTGCGTGCGCCGCATGCGTTCGGGCGCCGCGCCCGCAGCAGCGACGCAACCGCGAGCCTTTTGCAACAACAAAAGGGGCACGGCAGCAGAGGAAAAGGACAATTTCAAAACGGCCCAACCGCGCTGTCGTCGTCGTGCCAAACCACGGACGAGTTTTCATCACCCGGATTTGTCTTTCTCTGCACGTCTGGGTCCCCTCCCCGCTGCCGCCGCCGCCGCCGCGACGGTCATCACGAGCCTTCGAGCGAGCCTTTGCATTCATGAGCTGCAACGATCGATCATGATGCGATCGAGACTATCGATCTTATTCTGCTGCACGCTCCCCTGCACTTCAAAAGAGCCTCTCCTATCATCGTCGCCGGCACCCTGTCTCTCGATTTTACTACCAGCTCGTTAATGAAGAATAACCCGCGCTGTTCGGCCAAGGCTGTCAAGGCGCGGCGTGGCGACCGAAGGGTCTGTCTCTGTCCTGCAGATCCTGCAGGGCCTGCAAGGCTCGCTGCAAGGCCTGCAGCCTTCGCAGGGCGAGAAGCAGCGCCTTTCTTGTTTGATGACGGGGCCCACGTTGGCGTGGCCTGGCCGCCGCGTCGCCGACTCGTCACCGTCACCCGCGCCACGCTCTGCTGCTTCTGCGGGACTCGACGCTCAATGTTTAGCATGAAAGCCGCAGGCGAGGGGGAAATCACTTGCGTACTACTAACTCGTACACCCAGGCCTGTGCTAAAGACGTACTAACTCGTACTAACAGCGTAATAAGGCGTACTAATGGTAGAAATCAAGCGTGATAATGCCGTAATAACATTATTTTGCATAAATGATGAAAAACTGGGGTGTACTAACGTGTACTAACGTACTAACTCGTACACTTTGATCTGGAGTGATTACCCCGTCGGCCGCAGGTGAATCGTCGAGTGGAGAGTGCGCGTGAGGCATAAGTACTCTGCGAGTTTATATACATACATATATTCGTATGACACTTTTATGGAAAACTTTGATTTTTACGAGGCCGTAATTTTGCGTTGCGTTTAATTTTACGGCACGAAAATCAGTGTGCGGGGCGTCGTGGTGCCGTCACCCATGGCTGTAATGTGCCTTGGTTGTGACAGCAGGCAGCCCTTCCGCGCCGACTTCCTTCCTGGACGGAGGAGAGACTGCCGGCGCGGCAGGCAGACTGACTGGCGCGAGACACCCATACGATACGGGTCTCGTCAAATTAGCGTGCGCCTCGTATAACGCGCTGAATGGCTGTTTCGAGCGGCGCGGCGGCGGTGCGCTCAGTCGTCTATTTTTAGTCGAGCGCGTGCGACTTTGTGGCATTCCTATCCTGCGCCGCGCCGCGCCCGCTCACCTGCCGCGGAAGGCCCCGCGGCGCCGTGCTGAGATAAGCGGAGCGGCGCGGCGCGCGCTGACAGGGCCCTGGCGCCCTCGCTTCACACTCTGCCGATTGTTTTCTCGCTTTCAACAATATCCGCCGGTCGTGTTGCGTCCCCAAAAAGCTTTTCGGATGGCGCTTGCTGGTGTGACTCTCGTGACCGGACCGGAAGTATCCCCGAGGTGTCGCTGCTCCGCCGGAAGCGCCAGCTTATCTCGTGCATCCGCCTGTGTCCGCCCCGCCGCTGCTTCGCGCACGCGACACACGAATAAGTGCGCTATAATGACAATAATGGTAACACGCTCCGCTATTTTTGAAAAAATAATTTTTATTTTCTAGATCTCATAAGTTTGCCCTGTGCTGCGACATGTCCGTTCTGGACGTATCCCTGTCTTTACCCCCCCACCCCTATCTCATCTGAGAGCCTAGGAGAAGGGCAGCGTCTTGTGTGCCCGCATCATGATGATGCCTCGAGAGCTGCGCCCAGCCAGAGCAGCACGCAACCCGTTGTACACCGTGCGACTACCTCAATAACCTACCTGGGGAGGCGTGTCCCGTCGCGCTTGGGACCCTTGGACAATGGGGCGGGGGAGGAGGAGGCAGGGGAAGGGTATCAGAGTGCATTTACGGTACCTCTCCGGTGCGCTCCGAGCCAGGGGCCTCCAGGCCGCCCTGCGGCTCTGCCCGGCCTATAGAGCGCGGCCGAGGCCCTTCACAGCGTTTATTTCGCGCTCCCGTCCCGTCCCCCCTTCCCTGCGTTGCACTTTGGGCCGCTTTCTCCAGATGCTCGCGGCGTTAGGAGGGTGGGGTGGGGTGG